AAATCCTTGTTAAGTGCTGGAGCAGGCCCAGGGTCAGGAGGAGGGGATTGAGGGAAGGGTTACACTTTGGCGGGCTGCAGATTGGCAGGGTGATGTTGATGGTGAGAGAGTGAGAAGTGACCTATTTTTTTTTTTCCTATCGCCTAATACAAAACAGATTTTGATGAAGGTGCTGCTCATACACGGAAGCTGCCCAGTTCAACCCCGGCTTAATCCCAGTCTGATCTGATGGTTCATTTTGGTGTAAAACGTGATGCAGCAGACAATTTAAAGACAAATACTACACTTGGGGAGAATGTCTCTTGGAGGAAGTATAGTAATGATAGTTGGTCATGTACCTGAAATTAGAAGATGGACGTGCACCTTAAAATAAGGAGCAGCCTGGAAAACTGGGAGATTCAGTCAAAGTTGAAATGAAATGTAAATGCTGGTGGAGGCTGAGGAGAAACCAGTTGCGCATAAAAGACCAGGAAACAGTTTTAGCTTTAATATTTGCTTTTGGGAATTTACACTGAAGTTGAATTGAGTTTTTGTTGTTGTCTAGATGTGTCAACTGGTTTTAATCTGACAATATTATTAACCTGTACAAGTCAGGCGGCATGTACTGCATTTACTGTTTGTCAATCTGTGATGTTATGTGTGTGAAATCGTTCCTCGGCACAATAATTGTCATCAACAGGAGATAGAAGGGATGCATAAATGTGCCAAAATATCTGTTTCTTCTGCTTCTCCACTTCAGGCTCAAGGGGAGGATGGAGTCCATCCCAGCTGTAACAGGGCGAGAAGCGGGGAAGACTCTGGGACAGTTCGACCTTCAGTTGGAGGACTAATACACATAAACACAGACAACAATTCACGCTCACATTTATACCTGCAGTTAATTCACCAATTAATTAACCTTATCTGATTTATGTCTTTGTACTGTGAGGGGATGACAGAGTACCTGGAGAAAACCCACACAGGCCTGGAGAGAACATGCAAACTCTCCACACAAAAGACCCGCCTTGGATTCGAACCCAACCCCTTCCTGGAGCAACATCTCCCAAACCTCATGCTACCCACAAAAGTGTTGTGATGTAGACAAAGAATATTATCTTCAGGTTTGAGGGATAATCACATCTGTGTGTAAGCTGTTAAGTAGCGAGATAAAGAGAAACCAGATGGAGGCGCACAATCTTAAATATGTGGATCTCAAGCTTTATGCATTTTATAAACCAATTTATCATTAACTGGCTTTTCTGCTTATGCAGTTGCTGCAAGAATACATATTTAAATTTTAAAAGGACTAACACAAAAAATTGTCTGTGATTTAAATTTAAAGACATTAGTTTAAAGATTTTAAACTAATATTTTATGCCTTTTATTTCTAATCCTGTAAAGTTATACAGAGAACAGTACAGGAACAATAACAAAAGGAGCACCACAGAAAATCAGAGAATAAGTAGGTTGATCAATATTGTCCATTGGATTGGATTCCAGCTAACTGATGGTGAACATTTGTTTCAGAAGGGCAGTCTGCTTTTCAACAATGTAAGCTGTTAATTCTTTGCTAGGTAGCAACCACATAAATCTGCTCAAGCTCAAGTGCGTCCACAGAGGAGCCACCAAGCATCGAGTTCACATCCTGAATCCTAAATAAGAAGCACAGATGGCATCTAGTGTCCATGCTGATGCACAAGCGTCGGAATATTTCTGAAACATTTATCCAGCTTTGACGTCAGAGACACCTTGACTATTAATGAATGAAATATGGGAAATGCAACCTCAGTGGGGGTTACATCAGAGGTTTGGCTATCCAGCTGTGACAGTGTAGTTAGATCTTCCACTCAGGTCCTGGGATCACAAGGACTAAGTGCCCAATCTGTCTTCATCAAAACCACCGTGTCCCTTCCTCCCCCTCCAGCGGCGGAAAGTCATTCACCCTTTAAATCGTTGAGCTGGAACTCGGCTTAAAAGGGGGATTGGAGGTTCAGCCAGCGGCAGCCAGTAAGAGCTTTACAGAGAGAGAGAGAGAGGAAGAGAGAGACAGACAAATTCCACCTCACGCACCCACCAGCACATGGCCTCAAAGACCTGATTAGGATCAATATCCTGTTTGGAAGAGTGACACTCTTCAGTCCGGCACGTGTCCGATAACAATAGCGAGGAGATGCGATGCAAAATACAATTACTCTGAAACAACAAACAGCATCTTACATCAGCAAAGCCAAGGTGCAGCAGGACCCGTAGTAAGTTGCTTGGTGACAGTTGCTAAGCCACCACTGGTTTCTGTCTAAGGTTTCTCTCTCTTTTTTTTTTTTTAATGTCTGAACTCAGGGACTTTCAATTGTGGTGAAGATGCTGTCCTTACTTTACGAGGTTACCAAGTTTTCAGGCAGATTACCCTGAAATTTTGTTTAATGGTGCTTGAACTAAGTTGGGGAATATTACACATATCAGTAGAATTCTTTTTTAACTTGGTTCTATTATTCACCAACTAAAAGGACTAAAACTAATCAGAAGAGCAGGAGTAATCAGCCTCAAGGTGCTTTAGGTTGTAAGGTAAAGACCTTACAATAATACAGAGGAAGCAGAAAACAATCAGATAGCTCACGGAAATCAGAAATCCAGTATTGTAAGTCAAGAGTGTTGCGTTTCATATTTTATTATAAATTACTATTTAAACAGTATAAATACTGTATGTAGGTATTCTTCAGCCTAATTCAGTACATGCAGCTACAATCATGTGGGAAAACTGCAGATTTGAGAACTGTCCAGATTAAGATCTAGACGGTTCTCCACCCAGAGGGTAAGTCGCACAAAGTCACTGTTCAGGATGCTGCAGCGAAGCCTGTTGTTGGAAAGTTCATTGGAAGGGAAAAAGTGCAAAAAGCAACCTGGGTGATGGTGACCTTGAGAGGATTGTTAAGAAAAGTTAATTCAAGAACTTGGGAGAGGCTCACTAAGACTGACTGAGGCATGTGCTGGAGCACCATCAGCACAGATGTCTTCAGGAAAGGAGCTGTGGCTGTCATATTCCTAATATCCAACCACTCCTGAACCAGACAGTTTTACGTCACTGTTGCTCAATGATCCGAGGTAAGTAAACTTTGCATTTCATTTTGAAATCAAGGTCTGGAAGAACTGTGGAGAGGGACACAATCCAGTGCAGTTTGGTGATTCAGTGGGTCATCTGCTGATGTTTGCAGTGGTTGCTCCTCTGTGTTTTACCAAATCCAAAGTCAGTGAAGCATTTAACCAGGAACCTTTAGATTCAGAGAATTAATGCTTCCATCTGCTGACTGCTGATCTATGATGAAAAATATCCGACTCAGAAATACAGATGATCTGTAAACTGCTGTAAAAGCAGCCTGGGCTTCAGTCACGCCTCAGCAGTACCACAAGCTGATCACCTCCATGTTACAACACACTGACACAGTAATTTGTGGTAAAGGAGCTCCAACCAAGAAGTAAGCTTATAAATAATTATACCTTTCAGAAGCTGGACATTCCTGTTAATCTCTTTTTAAAAAAAAAAAAAAAAAAAAAAAAGGTCTCAGGAACTATTCAGTTCTCCGGTATTTCCTGTACACATAGAGCACTAACAATAAAAATAAATAAATCTTTGAATCTTTTTTTAATGGGTGATTCAATTTTATTTATTTAGCCCCAAATCAAACCTGTCGCCTCAAGGTTCTGACAACATCCAATATGCCACCTCCTCCAGGAGGACAACAAGATGTTTCCAAGCCAGCCAGATGAGATAATCTCTCCAGCGACTGCCCCGTGTCGCGAGGTCCTGGTGGCTAGGCCTTAGCCCAAAAAAGTGATGTGGGTTCAGTGCTTAGTAGATCAGATGGCAGTCCCAGGTGAAAGTCCTGGCGCTCCGATCTCTGGCGTTCAAAACTGGCTATACTAACACTGAAATATTCACCTCACGTTTATTGAAAATAAAATATATGAAAGTTTCTGAGGAGCACTAGCATACTAAAACAATAATGTATAACACCACATATCTGTGTACATCTTGGCTCTGTATGTAGAAGCCAATTATCTATAAATTGTATTCCCAACACCAGTCAGTTATCGAGTACCTGCACATCTCAATTAGCATCCACACATTTACTTAGGCAGGTTCATTTTGCTGTTTTCTTTCATATACTTGCACTTCTCTTTGTGATTTCTACATCCTAAACTGATGAGCTTCCGGAGGGCCTACATTTGATAGCAAAATGACATATTTAATATATTGCACAACATGCAACGTTCATATGAGGCCGAATCCTGGCACAGGAAGTGTTGTGTTTCAATTCCCATTGTGTCCACAGAATAACAGCAGGTGTGTGCGTAATCGTCCAACTGTCATATGCATACAAAAAAGTTATCATCCCAGAGACCCATTTATTATACAACAAAGTTGCTTAACAATCACGCACAGTGGTGATCCTCGAATAAATGATAATTGCACTGCATGGAAATGCATTGTATACTAGAGCACAGTCAATCTGACAGACCGAGACTCAAATCATATGTGAATTCTGGGTGTGCACACTCACACGCAGAAACTACATGCTGTAACTCCCACGCGGCAGCTATGTGTTGTAGAGCATGAACAGACCAGTGTCATCCAAAATAATAGACTGAACAGACTGCAGTATGGCCCACATCGACAGCCCAGCAGATTTGCTCACTCCACAGTAACGTGTGTGGTCATTGCATAACAAATTCTGACATTAAAGCACGACAGTGGAGGCCAGAGATGCTTTGCCCTTCCCATTGGGATGGGTGGGTGGGGGGTGGGGGCTCATTCTCACTAAGCAAACTGCTGTAAACAAATTCTTTTGAATGTAAATACATTCTCTCCATTCACTGGGCACCCCACAGAAACATAAATCCTACCAATGACATAATAAATATTCCCTTGGATAGAAATGTCTGTTGAATGGCCGTACCCATGATATAAATCTGTATTTTATATGCGCCTCTTCCACCAGCAAGAACTTTTCAAACGCTGACAAATGTTAAACATTTCTTAATCATTTATGCTTATTTTATAGAATTATACAGTGAATTATTTTGCATAAATAAACAAAAGGTGAATATTTTAGGGCAATACAGAATCTCATGAGCAAAGCGGTTTTAAAACTACTGGAAATAGCGTAACGTGCAGCAGTGGTGGAGCGTTATTCATACGTCAAATCGAGGCTGACAAAGTCCAGAGGACCTGAAGAGGTTTGTGCAGAAAGCTATGCGAGTGTGCGTCACGCGAGTTGGTTGTTTACTGGGTTGCGTGAGAGATGGTGGTCTGGAAGGCGAAAGTGATGTTGTTTCGCGCATGATCGAGGTAGGGGTCAGAGAAGGAGTGTGTGTCACCGGAGAAATGTCTCCACTGCATGAGCTCGGACATGCTGAGATGCTTCTGTGTCGCCCCCTTACGGTCACCTTGACGACCGAGCTGGCAGGGCCGTTCGGAAACCAGCTCCTCCTCCTCTGTGATAGCTGAAAATGAAGACCGCAAAGATGTGAGGAGGCATGATTTTCAGTCTTTTCGTGCTCTGGTGTCAGCATGTGTGGCGTGTATGTGAGCCTACCGCTGAGTGTGCCATCCATGCCGCAGCCACAGTTCAGCAGGTCATGAGTCAGGCAGGGCGTCTCCGTCAGGCTGAAAAGATCTCGCAGGTCACTGGTGGAGAAACTCGTGTGCTCTGCCCCTTTCCCCATGTCAACCACGGTTCCAGAGAGTCCCTGTTTGGACACCTGTCGCTGAAATATACGCTCCTCAATGGTGCCTGAGAGAAAGAAACAAAACTTTAAAACACTGTTGATATGGTGCACTTTTTTTTTTTTTTGTTCGGAATTTGTATTTACGTGTTCTTGCCTGCAGTGAGAAGACGGTAGATGTGCACAGTCTTCTTCTGTCCATCTCTCCACACCCGAGCCATGGCCTGGACAGAGAAGAGGGAGGAGGATAACACACACGTATTCAGTGCCCTCTGCTGGATTTGCATGTACTCGTACACAAGGGCAGCTTCACACTTGTTCGATTCAATTCATCTCCCCTAAGCAACGACCTCCGGGCCATAAATATTGGGCCAAAGTGTGTCAAAGGAAATCAGTTCTCACAGATTTCCATATTAGAAATGCCTATTTTTTTAATACCTATTTGATCTTTTTCTCCCTGATAACAACACTGATAATTTTCAGTTTCTTTTAAGTGTGTCTTAGTGAAATCCTTCACATGTTTTGGTTCCTGTCATTTCCATCGTGTTCTTTTTTTATTTTCATCGTGGGGTTTTTTCCCCCACTTCTGTTGTTTTTTAATATTTCTGTGTCATGGTTACCATGTCCATCTTTTACATACAGCTCACGATGGATACCAATAAAACCAAAGGCACTTTTAAACTTCAAACAACCCCAACATTTGAGTTTTTCTACCTTTTCAGACTATTACTGTTTGTATTTTACCTGAATGTCGTTGGCAGGGTTCCAGTCGATGTCGTATAGCACCAGGTGGGAAGCGCCAATGAGATTAAGCCCAACCCCACCTGCTTTAGAGCTCAGCAGAAACAGGAAGTTCTGAGAATAGGGACTGTTGAAACTGTCGACCAGTCGCTGCCTCTGGTTCGTGGGGGTATGTCCGTCCAGCCGACAGAAGGTGTAGCCCATGTGTACACACAGGTCCTGGAGCAAGTCTAGTGTCCGAGTGTAGTTTGACACTACGACCACCCTGCAGGAGCACACCTACTATCAAATGTGACGCTTGATAAATAAAGTTTAAAAAAAATCCAGATGATCCAAACAATCAATAGCATCTTAGCGTCACACAAAAACACACCTGTCTGAAGAGCTCAGCTGTCTAATGGCGGCAAGCAGGTCCGTAAGAACCAGCAGTTTTCCAGAGTCAGCCATGGTGAATCCTCCTGAAGAATAGGATTCTGGGAAGAGATCTGCCAGCCCCTCATATAATGAACTCTCCACAGAGCCAGCATCTGTCCTCTCCTACCAACAGAACAACCCATGTTCATGGTTAGGACTGGGATTCACGATTATATATTTATAGTTTCCACTATGATCACAGGTTTCTGTCCCCCCAGCCAGCTCATAAAAAAATTAACCTTAACAGTGACGTGGAGCAGTCCGGGGTGATTACAGAGCTTTTTCAGTGCGGTGATGCAAGCCAGATGTGTGTGGGTTTGAGTGGAGCCCTGAAGGCAGGCCCTGAAGACTCTGTGGCAGAGGAGGTGCTTGTACAGCTCTCGTTGCAGAGGGGACGGCTCGCAAAACAACGTCCAGTCGAGGCGAGGAGGCAGGTAGCGGTTGATGATTTCCTGCGTCCGCCTCAAGATGAACATGCCAGTCAGACGAGAGAGCTCGGTCGCTCGCTCCTCTCCCAAAACTCTCTCCTCCTGTTGGCAGTGGAAGATGTAAGATCAGGTTTAACACCAGATAACATTTTTATAACAACTGCACAGGAAAGAGAAAGGAGATGGGATTACCTCTGTGCATGAGGGCTGTCTGGAGCGCAGGATTGGTTCCTCGTATACTTTTCTATAAGCAGTCGATGAGCCCAGAATCCCAGGGTTCACAAACTCAATGATGGCGTAGAACTCCTGCAGGTCGTTTTGAACTGGAGTGCCTTCAAAAGCACAAAAAACAGTCTGTTATAAAACATCTGCAAGCAGTTGTAGCTGCCATTCAGAAACTCCCTTATCGCTTTCACCTGTAAGTATGACTCTGCGATTACACTTGAGGCTGCTGAGGGCTGATGATGTTTTGATGTTGCTATTCTTTAATCTGTGACCCTCATCACAGATTATAAGACCAAAATCAACTTTCTGGACCTGAAAACAGAAGGAAATTACAAGATAAGAGTACAAAGATCAAACAGCTTCGTTGGAAAAAGCACGCTATGAGACATCGGGAGAACATACCTGCTCCAGGCAGCGCAGCAGCATTTCATAGCTTATCACAAGAACGGTGTGCAGTGGGGACAAAACAAACTGCTCTATCCTGTGGTCCTAAATACATTTCAATGAAGAAAAAAATGGAATTACTTAATAAACTCCAGATTAAAGTAGATGATTCATTCAGATACTTGTTCTCATTTTAATTATTTACAAAAAAGATATTAAATCAAGAAAAGCCGGCAATAAAAATGGAGTAACATAATTAAGTTATTGAATAAGAGAGAAGAATTATTGCAATAGAATAAAATAGAAAGCTTATAATAAAATGGATGGATTTTTTTTAAAACCACAGACATGTAACTAAGAGCATGTGGGTTCCTTCTGAGTTTTAAGCAGTGTGACTTGTTGCTGTATGCACTTTAATACAGAATGGATAACAGGTTATATACATATGCACTAAAGCAGTGAGTTCACATTCGCTTTCCAAATAAAATCATGTTGTTTCATGATTAACTGAACCAAGGACTTGTAATTATAAAACAGAATAACCTGATCCACAGTGAAAACACTGATCCTCTCACGGCCCAGCCACTTGTTGAATTCTGCGGCCCAGTTCTGTACCAGGCTGCCAGGTGTAACCACAAGCACACGCTTAGCAACTGGCCTCCCACCATAAGGTCCCTGCTTCAGCAACGTCCAAGACAGCGCCACGCTCTGGAGAGTCTTTCCCAGACCCATTTCGTCGGCCAGGATCGCACCGTAGCAACCTGCAGCTCTGAAGCACAGACACATAAGCACAACATCAAACCAGTGGCTCCGTTTTGTTTTGTTTTGTTTTGTTTTTTGTGTGGCGCTACAACAGATTAATTAAGAGGTTTTTTGCACAGCATTTCATGATAGCCAAACAGCACTGTCACCTCATGCCCATGACACACTCGTAGAGGAAGAGCAGGCCATCCCTCTGGTGCGGTCGCAGGTGTGTGGTCAGGTGTGGGTCAAGCACAACATCGACCATAGGAAGCCCTGACTTGTTATTTAACCACTGGTGGTTGGCGGAAGGGCGAGGCATCACCAGTGCACCTAAAACGATATGAAATAATATTATTAAAATACATTATAAATATATTTTTTGCCAATTTATGTAGGTAATAACTTAATGCATCATCAAACTCCAACTTTATCCACACACCTGGAGCGAGGGGGTCATGGCGAGGTCTGCGAGTTTGTTCCTCCTCTGGTTTTGTTTCTCTGTGGCCCGCTCCGCCCACCATTGTTGGAGGGCAAAAAGGTTTGAATGCCAAGCGGCAGGAGGGTGGTGGAGCAGACTTTGTGTTTAACTCCACTCGCTCTGTTTGGACCTCCTGAAAACAGCGCCCCTTGGCAAAGTCCTCAGCAGAAATGACTCCCATCACCTCCACCTCTTTCCCACCAATCATGAGAGTCTCTCCCTCGGAAAGCGAGGCCAGCTCCGACACCTTGTAGCCACTACCTACAGTTCAGATATGCACACTTGTCAGGATCACGTGTAGTAGGAGAAATCAACTAGTATTGACCTACTTAGCCCTTTAGCATATTTTAATGTTTAATGCAGTAAGCTTCAGTTAAGTGTAAAAAGTATGCTTGTAGAATTTTATTTAAGATTTGAGTATTTAACTATTTTCCAGTGTTTCATGATCCAAAAACAGGCCTCTGGGGCTGACTATGCACAACTAAGGCAAAGAGGCAATAATACCTTGACAGAAGCCTGGGTATTTTCCTGTTATTTTTATATTTGATCTTGAGTAAATTAAATGTCAGGTAAATAATTTTAATTACAGTACTGATTACTTTGCTTTCATTGAGTCTTAAGTCAGTCTTAATTTCTTTATATTTTGCAAGGAAAATGTGAAATAAATAGGTTCAGCAATTTACTGAAATGTGTAAATGGAGTTTTTTTGGTGCAAAAATCACATTTTATGCCTTTCACACTCTGTCACCTTTGATATTCTTGTTAGATTAGACAAAAGAAATGTAAAGAAATTATGTATTTTTCTGACAAGCTGCTAATGATAAAGTACTTGTCTTTGCCAAGTTGTTTGTTATGTAACACTGGCTCATCCTTCGAATTAGGTGCCTTTTTATTGCTTGAATGATTCATAGATCTGCATTTACAAGACTGCAGTGAAAATGAGTGAAAAAGTAGCTGAAGTTCAAAGAAAAACTTTGAAAGTCCTCGAGAAAGCCTGGAGAACTACAAGTCTAGCTCCTTGGAAGCCAAATATAAAGAAATGCAGGCTATCTCAAGGCTTTTTGTATATAGTATTATATTAAAATTGGGCAGTTGTCATTTTAAATACAAGCAACAACTATACAGGTGACGAATTAAAATTTGATGTTGGTGTCCGTCTTACCCTTTCCGATATCCTTCCCCTCCATATCTTTAAGAGTGACTGTGCGTCCTCTTGTCACCAGCACTGCGTCTCCCTCCCAGCGCTTATGTTTCTTCTTGCTGGCCTTACACCACACCACACTGAAGTAACGCGCCCCGTCCTGACTGCAGCCAGAGTCTGAGCCTGCAGGAGGCTGAGGGGTTTGGGGAGACCCAGGAGGGCCATCATTCACTCCTGTAACACAAAGACATAAAACAAAGTCAGATCCACCAGATGTACACGGGAAATTGACCAGCAGAGGTCACTGTCGCATCAAGCTTTTCAGCATAAAGGCTTCTACACGCCATCGTTGGCTCCACCTATCATGGAAACAAAATACAACATGTACAAGGCTCAAACAGTTAGCACCGTGAAACAATGCAAATGTCAGCAGATGCGGTCACCTTATGATCTTTCATCAGCTTCTACAAGACGGATTAAAGATGATTTCCTATAAAAGTGGAACACGTGACTTGGAAATAAACAGAGGACCAGAGGAAAATGGATCTTCTTTTTAATACAAACACGTGAACGCATAGACAAACAGTAAGAGAAATGGGCAACACTTGTATAACAACAGTACAATACAATCAATGTTGAACTCACAATAAATAGCAGTAACACCAAAAACCATCAGGGCCCCTCCCTTCTTTTGTTCGCGCAGCCGGTCAACAGTTCAGCAACCAGCGAGAATTACTCACTCGAACATTTTTGTTATCCCAATAACAGATTAAGGCCTTCAAAAGTTTACCTTGTGCTTCAGTCCTGGTATCTCTAAAATTTGCTACTGGAGTGCTTTCTTGTGGCGACATGAATGGTTTTTGTACGAAGTCTACAGAATGAATAAAAGCGGCTATAAAAATTGTTTTGATAACCAAAACCTCTAGTGGAAAGTGGATTTCTACAGATGCCAGAATGGGTGGAAATGTTCTTTACACAGAGATAACAACACGTCGCTCACACTGACATCAAGTGCTTTAACTCTTACATTCATATTTTTCCAACAATCTTAGACAATAAAGATCATTAATGCCTTGCTGGCACTCCTGTAATTAGAGACTGGTGGTAGGTGTAGGCAGGAAGAGCACCACTGAGGTACATTATCAGTCAATACTACAAATATTCCCTTCCAAAATTTGGACTTTTATACATATTGGCCTGTCACAGTGTTACTGATGTGAGCTTTGTTTTATTACATAGATGTTTGTCCCCACTTTTGGTACTCATGGACACGATGATGCATTTTTAACACAGACAAGCACAAAGACGGATGGCAGCAGGCGTTATTATCCTAATTATCCTGCAGGACGTAAACAGGTTATCTGTGTGTATACGAGGCACTATGTTTCCAAAAGAAAGTCAAGTCCTGAAACTGATCTCACACAACCAAAATAAAACAAAATTAGTGACTGCTCCAAAGCACTTTTTTTCCTTTTTCTTTTTTTTAAAAACTGTACTACTCAGAGCCCCTCCCTTTCTCACAGTGACCACAGAAGTGCATGTTGATACTTGTTATAGAGAAATGGGCAGTCCGTGTCTCAGTCGGGTTGCCTTCAGTTTCTCCACTTTGATCTTGGCTCGCAGCAGTTCCTCCTCCAGTTCCTGCTTCCTCTTCAGCCCCTCTCTCTTCTCCTCCAGGTACAGGGCCACCTTCCTGTGATTGGCCAGCACCAGCTCGTGCTCCTCTTTGGCCAGTTGCAGAGGCCGAAACCTGTCCGGCTCGTGGTGAGGGTAGATGTCGTTGGGGTAGAGCTCATGGCGTAAGGGCAGCGGCGAGGTGGAGAGAGGGATGTTAACAGAGGAAGGAGCTGGAGATAACGACGCTTCATAATCATGGATGCTGCCCAAGTCCTGCTCTCCCTCTCGCTCCTGGCCTCCTTCCAGCCGTGGTCCTGTGTGCGCTGGGAGGATGGGAAGGTCTGGCGGTGGCTTTACATCCTGTTCAGCGTCCAGCTGGACCACCTCATGGGGGATACTTGGGACAGATGCAGAGTAATCCTGAAGTCCAGCCAGAGATGAGCTGCTGCCAGGATGTTCGATAGGAGAGTTGTGCTTGCTGTATATTAATCTACAAATGGGAAAAACAGGATTAAAAAAATAAATAAATAAGTGAGCCTGGAGTGCTTAAGCAGCATTTACTATATCTTGTTTATGTGAAGTGTGTTGAAACCTCTGCAGGTAGGTAAATCAATCAAAGAATTAGGTGAATGATCAGGGAACATTAAAGGGAGTGAAAGGAAATTAAAGGATTTGGCAACAAGTCTTGGTGGTTACAACCTCACACGTGTGAAGCGTTTTTGATCCCACTCTTATTCATCACTAGGATTTCTAACTGTGATGACTGCCTTTTAATCTGAATTATTCAGTGTATTTTTCTCCTCTGCGTACTCTCTTAATCCAGCATGAGGATATTTAGCAGTGTCTTACTTTTTGTAGTGCTGAGAACACAAGATAAATAATTGTTTTGGAGCCAAGTTTCTGATAGAATTATCAATGTGAAAACCAGACCTATGTATTTTCCAAATGTACTGATGAGCCGCCAGTAAATGATGGCAGGTCATGCAGTATGTCCTCTTGAGCCTGACAGTGTTCAGTGAGTAATCTGATTGGGTTTGGGAGCATGAACGGCAGCCCCTCCTCTCCCTCGGTATGTCCAAAACTCTCATGTGACTTGTGTTATCCTTTATCTTTGTGTGTGTATGTGTTCTCATAAGTGCAACCGTACCTGCGCAGCGCCTGGTCCTTTTCGTGGATGGGCACGTGGTGAAACAGGTGAGGGATCATCTCCATAATTCTCCTGGTTGGCTCGGAGATGCTTGCTCTGTACTCTGGCTGGGCGTGTCTCCTCTGCATCACTTCCTGCTTGGCTGACTCCTTCAGTCTCTTGTAGAGGGTCCGGAGGCCCTGAGCTGTGCGATGGGGTCTGTCTCCTCCCAGGGCATTGTACTGTTCAGCAACAGTGTCCCAGCACTTGTTCTTGTCCACGATGACCGCGTGCTTGTTGGTGTGCTCCTCCAGGATTCGGATGTGAGGCCGGACCAGCTTCAACAGGTCCAGCTTCTCAGAGAGGGTGAAGTTGGAGGAGCGGGCTTTACCCACCATACTGGACAAAAACACAGAGCTGGATGCCATCTTCTAGCATACTGGGCTCACGCAGACCAAGTCTGGCCTATGGCTGTCACCCTTTAGTAACCACACTCAGTGGTGTGGGCTTCTCTCTCTTCCCACCTGTCTTTTTTTCAGTCCCCGCCGCTCTCTTCTCCTGGTCCACGGTGACACACCAACACTGGTCTAACTCAGAGACATGTCACATTTCCCCCCTTCGTCTTCTTCCTCTCCAAATCAAACATAGGCTATGTCTAACAAGTGCATGGATTCTCACACTACTCCTGGACTCCCTCTCAGCTACGTTGCACAACAAAAACAGGCTGTGCTGCACACAATAAGAATCAGGCTTAACTAGGCCAGCCTCGTTTAGGCCCCCGCCTACCGCGGAGGGCTTTGGATGAATTCCTCCCAGCTTAGGCTGACGTAGCTAAGCCGCTTAAGCCCAGCCCGACCTACTTACAGCTCGGTCTCTCTAAACCCCAAACCGAGCACAGCACAGAGCACAGCAGAGATACACCGGCTCTACAGTGTGACAAAGGGAGTGCTGCAGAGGGACACTGCCCTCTGCACATGTGCCACAACAGTTTGCAAACAGCACACTGTAAGGTGTTAAAGTGTCACATGTCTAACGTCCTAAAATGAGTGATGCTTTGAATCAGCGCCGGCTTAACTAACTGAACCGGGGGGGAGGGGTCTGTGAGCGCGCTGCGCATGTCCGTGGAACCCGCGCTTCTGGCCGTGCTTCAGTGTAGAATGAATGCAGACGGGGAACGCCAGCTCCGCAGCGCACGCGGCGACTCCGTTGATTAAATACGTGTGTGGGGCGCGTGCAAAAACAGCTCCAGGAAAGCGTGCTCGCGCCGCGCGGTCTCAGGAAGTAAAACAGAAGCACTGGCTGCTCCGACAGGAGGAAGGGGAGGAGAAGGAGACGCTGATCCCGAGCACAGTCCGAATCTGGCCGCTAATTTGCATAATGCTGGACCTGCTGTCACTCAGCCTTCGCCCGCCCGGTTTAACATCTATCCTGTGTGCGTGTTATTATTAGACAGAGCGGAATGCTATTTATATAAACGTTATATCTCATTATAGTGTCTGCTTGAAGTTTCTGCGCGGGGTTTGCTCGAGTTAGACTTTGCAATATAACAGCGAATTTAAACAGCAGTGGTTGGTACGTGTAGGGCACATTATGAGGAATAATCGCTAATGTGGTGGTGATGACGATGATGATGATGTCCATGTAATTTATAACACTGGCTCTGCAGTGTTATAAATTACATGGACAGGCCAGTAGCTGTAAACTCTCTTTTGGGACCAGCCATACCTTATTTTACACAGCAAACATGAAAAAGCTTCAGGTCCTGAATGATCCATTTAGGACCGACAACCTCAAGCCAAATATTTGTAATTAGTAACGTCCCTGCCTTTAATGCTGTGTATCGATTAACCGATTATACAAATGTAGCCCAAAAAACCCCAAAATAGATTGCACGACACATTTTTAAGGAATAAATTACAAAAAATAAAAAGCAAAATGCCCGATGTTGCAAATATGATACAAATTTAATCTCATATATCAAATTACTATTTTTTTTTTTTTTTGTCAGAAGGGTCATTGTACGCTACATTTTCAAAAAGTTGGAAAGTTATTTTATGGTTCAGGGTTTAAAGGATTTAGAAACACGATATATTATCTTGTATATTATTATAATTATGTTGTTTATAGAAATCCTGGAGGATTTTCCGGTTTGTGTTCTAGTCACTGCACATTTTTGTGTTGTTTATTTATTATTTAATATTTCTTCTTTTGTACTGATATGGACTGCAGGTGGCTGTGAATGCAAAGTAGATGGTGTGGCTCAAGTAAATATACAGCAGAGCTTTGTGTTCAAGGTGACAGTGTTTGTATCATCTCTATCTTTCTTTTAAAAAGACAACAGAATCAGTATTGTTCTGTATGTACACATTAATATACATGATGCTTTTTGCCTGAGGCAAAAAAAAAATTGCCAGCAGTGTGACAACGTCTGTCCCCCTTCCTCATCTTTTGCATATTTGTCACATTTACATGTTTCAGATCATCAAACAAATTTAAATATTAGACAAAAATAACCTGAGTAAATTCAAAAAGTAATTTTTAAATTATAATGTATTAAGGGGGGAAAGTTATCCGAGCCTACATGAAAAATTAACTGCCACCTTTGTAAAATCATAAATGAATTGATTAACCACAATTTTTAGAAAGTTAAGTTCCGTTTCTCTGTCTACACCCGAGTCTGATTAATGCCAGACCTGCTGAGTTACTAAAACCAGTCTGACAAAGTGAAGTAGGTTCAAAGATAAAGCAACACATCATGCCACGATCTAAAGAAACAGCTGAGAAACAAAGTCACTGACTCACAACTGTCAGTCAGGCTTTGGCTTTGGGTTCCAGTGAACCACAAATGCCACAAATGAAGAAAACTGAACAGCGGTGAACCTTCCCAGGAATGACTGGTCTACCAAAATTACTCAAAGAGTGCATCGACGAGTCATCCAGCAGGTCACGAAAGAACCCAGAACAGCATCTAAAGAATTGCAGGCCTCACTCACCTCAGTTAAGGTCAGAGTTTATGATTCAACAATAACAAAGAGAAGGCATCCATAGGAGAGTTCAAGGAGAAAAGTACTGCTGACCAGAGAGATCACAAAGGCTCGTCTCACATTTGCCAAAGAAAAACATCTTGATGATCCTCGAGACTTTTGGGAAAATATTCTGTGGACTGACAACACAAAAGTTGAGCCTTCTGGAAGGTTTGAATCCTGTTACATCTGACGTAACACAGCATTACATAAAAAGAGCATCGTACGAACAGTCAAAAGTGGTCGTACAGTACTCTGATGTCTACGTGGACGTGGACAATTTGCTGCAATTGAACCATGAATTCTGCTCTTTATCAGAAAATCCTGAAGGAGAATGTCCAGCCATCTTTTTGAGTCCTGAAGCTTAAGCTCAGGTTCTGCAGCAGGAAATTGATCCAAAACACACCAACTCAAAATGGCTTAAAAAAGAAAAGAAAAAAGAAGAAGAAGAAGAAGACGGTTTTGGAGTGTCCTAGTCAAAGTCTGGATTTAAATGTGTTTGAGAGGCTTTGACATGACCTTAAACAAGCCACTCATGCTGGAAAACCCTCCAATGTGGCTGAACTAAAGTAATTCTGCAAAGAAGAGTGGGCCAAAATTCCTCCATAGTGATGTTAAAGACTCATTGCTACTTATCGCAAACACTTGATCGCAGTTCTTGCTGCCAAGGATGGCACAAGCAGTTATTAAGTTCAAGGGCAATTACTTTTTTCACACAGCATCAGGTAGGTTTAGACAGCTTTTCCCCCTTAATGAATAAAATCATCATTTAAAAAAAAACCCCACTTCATTTTGTATTTGCTTGGGTTGTCTTTTTCTAATATTAAAATGTATTTGATGATGTCAAACATGTAAGTGTGACAAATATGCAAAAAAAAATGATTAGCAATAAAGCAAAATGAAATCTTGCATAGATTTATTGCTCCAGACGCCTTGAGGCTAAAAACGATTGAAAACCATAATTAACGACATTTTAGAATATTTGTCATAAATAAAGTACAATTATCAAAAACAATAATAGTCCCATTAAAAAATATTAATGTATAAAATATAACAGAGCCCACAGCTTGGTCACTTGAGCGCTAATGAAACAGAAACGGCTGTTTCAGTAGAATCTTCATGACTAAACTACCTAAACCTAATGAGGCATCAGGTATGCTGCATGCTGAGGCTTGCACTGTCTTTGTCATTGTAACACACAGGGTTAATTGGTTTAGCTTTTAATCTCACCTGCATTTAATTAAAAACTAATTGGAAGTCTTGTTTGGTTTAAGAGCTATCCATCTTAAATAACAGCTTGTAATGGAACCATGATTTTGTTTTCTGGTGGAAATCTTGAAGCTTTTCTCATTTTCAAACGTTGCATCTCCTTGTCTCCTCAAGGAGAGGGGAATGCTTGCTGGATTAACTTTAAGCAAAGACACGCAGGTATACTCTTCACGGTCAAGAAAAATGGTGGGAGGCACAGCTGGAATACTTAAATCATGGTACAAGAAGAATCCTATCTGAAACTCTACCTCTAAGTTGTAGCAATAACTCAGTGATCACACCATCAACCCTTCACTATTTGTGGGTGTGATTAAAAAAATAACTACGTTTAATTAAAAGAAATATAAAAGTCATCATGAGCAATGTTATGTCCATCTGATTCATCAGACTCCTTTCCTTCCTGGCCTTCCACTCTTTGTTGTGGTCTTTTTTTCCTCTCTCTCTCATATGAGGCAAACGTATTTGTCCCCATATTTGTCTTTGCACATTCCCTGACATACATTGCTGAAACTATGAGAATCTCCCTCCAGGAATCAACTGACATTTGTAAGTTTTCATATTGCTGCTATGATTATTAAATTGGGCATAAGAAGTGAGAAGATGGGGCAAGAAAAAGGCAAGGCTTTACATGGCTGTTTGTTTTTTACCTGCTGGTTTATAGTCTTCAGCAGAGGCTCCTAATCCAGGGTTCTGATGCTTTGTCTCAGCCTCATTTTCCTTACTCTCAGTTGCACTGAGAACACGAGCCAGAACCTTTGACAAGGCTGGGGCAGCTTCAGGCTGGACGTTAAACTCTGTCTTACTTGCACCTGGTGTTGCAAGGCTTCTCTGGATCTGCGAAATGAGGTACGGACAAAAGAGAATTCTTAATATGAGGAAGTGTGATTAAAAAAATAATGGAAAATAATCAAATTAGAATTATAAATACTGAGGGTTTAATACTGTAGGAAAAATGTTGAGAAAAAAAATTACTTTATCCAGTGCATTGCCTGAACCAAGTTTGGGGGTCAAAGGCTTGGATTGAGCCACAGAAAGTGAAGTACATGCACCAGGTGGCACAAATCGAGACTTTTTCACTGCATTACCCAAGAGCTTGCTGGGAGCTCCAGAGCGCCGCATCTTTCTTTTTCCTAAAGACAAAAAGCAACCGATACAATAGTCAGATTGTCTATTCTTATTTAATTCACTTAATGTACAGAATTCACCTGCTTGCTGCATACATGCTACTACTGTACATTACCTAATGTATATATTATATATAATGTCCCCCCTTTGCACAAGTCGAGGAGCGTGTCAGGTTACATTTCACTGTGTGTTATACTTGTATAACTATACATGTGATGAATAAAGAACCTTGATCCTACAAGCAGATTAATAAAATACAAATACAGTAACATTTGGTTGACACAAAATCCCAACAAACATCTGGACTTGCCTTAAGGCGTTACTGCATGATTACCGCTTATTACAGACGGTTTAATATCCTTTGAGTGGTTTAAAATCAGGGGGGGAAAAGAAAACAAAAATATCTTCCTCAAAGGTACTCACTTTAATAACTTCGTGAGGCATGTAGCAAAAACTATCTCGTCCGCTCAAAACAAATCCAACTCCAACACTATTCCTTTTAATGTCACAGTCCTTTAGCATTATATGAACACATCTAGCTAATGATTTGTCCCTATTAATAGCAAAAAATTGAAAACTTGGATTATTTGCATATGTAAATTCTGCACTGGGTAAACTGTGCATATCGAGACGAAAATAACTCACTCAATCCTTTTTTATCATACATAAATCCTTGGGGTCACTATCCCTCTGATGGCTTTCTAGCTTTTTCACGTCCTCAATTCCTGTTTATGCTGGAATAATCGGCATATCACGATAATTTCTAGATAGCAACATGAACCTGTTACACAGCCAGCTAGCTAACACTAGCATAAAGATGATAATAACGCGGTTGGAAGTCTAATTTAGGCTTTATTATCAAGTCAGATAACGTGTGACAACGTATTGTACATACCCCGACGAGCTAAAAGTTAGAAGAAAACACCTGACATCGCAGCCTTTAACTCAATTGCAACAGAACTCGTCTTGTCTTTCCTCTTCAGTGACTCTAGCAGCGGTTCAGTTTCTCCCGCTGAACAGTTTGAAGAATCTGATTCGTCGAACCAATACAAATGGGCGTGGTTAAAACGAAAGGGTACGTTTGGTTCTTCTGTCCCTACAGTTTAGCCGTCGCATTCAATGTAGTTTATATCCCGCTTGAATTTCAGCAACCGGTCGATCGATAACTTGTGAATCGAGCTCACCTACTACTCACTTCATCCCTTCATTAAATCACAGTGAAAGCGTGAAAGGAGGAATATTTGGGAAATCTAAATATTGGTATAACCGTTTAAGTAAGCTGCTAATCGTAATATTTTGTTTCACTAGCACAGCTACCACAGTAAACTCGCCTCACATGTTTTTTGCAAGACTAAGGCAAACGTGTCAACTTTTCAAAATTTACCGCAAATTACTCAATTTGAGGGTACCTGAAAGTAATACTTATATAGTAGTTGTATTAAGTTATTTTCGCTAATACTTAATTATATTGACATTTAATAATATTAATTATTAATACTGATATTAAATGATAATACTGACAGGACATTTATTAAGGGGGGAAAAAAACTAGCCAAACCTCCAAACCTTTCTGCATAATTCAAGTGAGGTTGAGCTTCGGGGTAAGAACGGATGGCTGGACATTCTCCTTCAGGATTTTCTGGTAGACAGTAGAATTTATGGTCCCATCAATTACAGCAAATCATCCAGGTCCTAAAGCAGCAAAGCAGCCCCAGACCATTACACTATCACCACCTTGTTTAACTGTTGATATGATGCTTTTTTAATTAAGTGTTTTATGCAGTTTAGTTTTATGCAGTTAGTTTTATGCAGAGGTAACCAGACTCAACCCTTCCAGAAAGTTAAATTTTTGTCTTGAGGATCATCAAGATTGATGTAAAATGACTTTATTTACACTGGCATCCCGAAGATCTTTGTCTAACATTAAAATTAGTTTGATGATCTGAAAGATTTAAGTGTGAAGATATACAAAAAACTAAGAAACCAGGAAGGGGGGAATACTTTTTCAGAGGACTGTATGCATAAGAGAGCTTTACTTGGTACGGGGTCATTTTGAATTACTGTTTGTGTGATTGTAAGTCTTACTGAGAGGATATAAAGCGAACAGGATGATGAGTCCAGGCATTTGGTGTGCTCTTTGATTTTTGTGATCATGCGTTCTTGTGCCATCTGATATTGAGTCTGTAATCCAATCATGGAGGGAGAGAGTGTAATCCATCTTAATCCCACATTCAGAGAGAGAGGGAGAGGGAGAGAGGGAGAAACCTAGGATAGGGTGGGTCATTAAGAGAGAGAAAAACAGCTGAAGGACAGCAGTAATCTCTGAATGCTTCACAACAGCAACACAGGTTTTTAATAGCTAGACAACAACACTGCTGCAGAACTTGTCTGCTTTAGACTCGGTGTTCAGTGTTTTACTGTAATTCGGCCTGTCTCTCTCATCTGATCTGGTCCCGTCTGACAGCTGCCTTCCTGTGTCCTGAACCCTTGTTGTCAGGGTTACCTCTCCACGGAGACGCACTCTCAAAGGTAGGGGAGGGCTTCAAAGGAGAGGAGACCCTCACCTTTATGGTGTTAAGAGTGAGGATGTGGCAGAGATAGGACGGCAGGTTGCCCGTGGAGGAAAGAGTGGAGTCAAAACCTGCAGAAAGAAGGAAGTAGGAGTTGGTTGAAGTGAAAGTTGACATCTGAGGTAAGATAAAAAGAAAAGAAACAAATGAGGAAACAAGACTGCTTCCTGCTTTACCCGTGTGTTGTTTAATCTGTTTAACTTTTTTTTTCTTTTTTTATTAGGATGGGCTATGATCTGGAGAGGTTTGTAGGTTACGTGAATGAGGGTCTACTGTGCTGTGTATGTCGAGATGTGCTGGAGCGCCCCCTCCAGGCACCCTGTGAACATGCTTACTGCAGCTCCTGCATCAGCACCTGGCTGGTCCATCACCACTCCTGTCCTGAGGACAGACTGCCACTGGATGTGGGTAGCCTCAAACCACTGTACAGGTCAGTCTCCGTCTCCTGCAGTTGTGCTCCTTGCTTCACTTCCTCGTAATCATGCACTCTTAAGTTTTGCAGATAAGTTTTCATGCAAGTCAGTAGCGTTATAACAGTATGCTGCTTTTCTCACTCTAAGAGTTTCTGTCTGTGTTGGTTTGATTTGCAGGTACATGCGTAATGATCTGAACCGTCTGCAGATCCGCTGTGTGAATGCAGCACAGGGGTGTGAGGTGGTCTGCTCCCTGGAGAGCCTCCACTCACACGAGGACGAGTGTGAATTTGCCTTCATATCCTGCGCTAACACAGGTACATGACAACATCACACCGGACAAAACACTATTCATGCAGTGTGTTTTTATAAGTCTTTATGACAGTAAAAGTCAAACTGCAATCCTCATGGATGTGTATGTTACAACTGTAATGTGACACGTCTGTGGGGGTGAACAACAGGTGGGCCCTGTTGTTGTCTTGGCTACCCCAGGAACAGGTGCACTTTTAGGACTGAAAGCTCCCACAAGCCTCACACAGAGAGCACTGTGTGAGAGTCGGCTTTCATTCATTCTTTAATGAGTGATTTTTAGGTCTGTTTGAAACATGTACATGCAAGTGTGCGCTTTTGTGCTCACCATGTGTTTGTGACCCGTGTTTGGCAGGTGGAGAGTACATATGTTACCACTGTGGTAGGTTGAATCACATGCGGTGTGTGTGCATGCGGTGTGCAGTTTAAGTCACTAAAATCACCTGAAATTTCTGCTGTTGTGTGACTGCAGTGATCTGTGACTACATTGTAGATTTAATAACTCTACTTTAGATACACAAAGTGTTTACAAAGTACATTTTTGGTGGTGTTAGTAGATTATCTCCTCTTTGTACACACAGATGATTTTTATGGAAAAATTCGTGCCTGCAAATAAATTTCATCTTTGTGGAGATGCTTTAGAAGCCTGTCTTATACACTGATAACGTGGTGGCTCCATGCGAGGCCTTTGCACCCTTGTGACTTTTCCCTCTCAGGCTGTCCCGTGCAGGTCGAGAGGCGGGGCTTGGAGGCTCACCTGTCAGAATGTAGCTTTCGCAGCAGGGAGTGTCCTAATGGTTGCGGCCACACGCTGCTCTCCATTGACCAGACACAACATAACTGTGTAGCGGAGCTGCGCACTGAGGTGGAGATGCTCAGGTAAGCTCTTCTGTGCTCTCTTCTAAGCCTGAACTCAGAGGTAACACCACCATCATGACTTGGTCTCATTAAATGTCAACTGTAGGGTGGAGATGCTGTGCAAGGTGGAAGAGGTGAGACGAGAGATGGAGTCTCGGCTGGACTCGCAGAGGAGACACATGGTGCAGAAAGAGTCTCAGCTGAAGAACGAGGTGGAGGAGCTCAAGGTAAAATGTCCTGTTACCACATAAATGCAACAGAAGATAGTACTAAAGCACAGATTTGTGACCATGGGATACATTTACTATGAAAGTACAATGCAGTGTTTTGCAAATCATTTAAAAAATGCTGAAAGTTTAAAGGCAAAATGCTTTTAGAAGTCTGAACTGTGTGAATGTCATCTTAGCATTCAGACTTTTTTGCTCGGGTGCCATATTTTTTAAAAACAGTGAGAACTGTTTTTTTCACTGTCCTTTTGAAATAAGCAAGGCCTGAAAATTATATCTGATTCCTCACACTGCAGGACACCTTCTCAGGCCCATAAATGGTGGCAGTTTACAGATCTTTTTTAAGTCCATAAAATCACAATAAAAAAAAAAGAAAAGAAAGTACACTTATCGGTCATTTAAAAAATAATCTGGTTCGTAGCAGGTTCTAAAATTAATAAATACAACCTCAGGTGAACCACACAGCTAAATGACATATCACATAACAAAACTAAGCCAGAATGCAGAAGCAGTGTATGTACAGTTTTACTGGATACAAAGGATTTAAGAGGGAATTGAAGCCACGTGCCGATAATCAAATGCACTTAACTGGCATGACAATCTCTAAAGAAGCAGGCAGTTTGCTGTTTTGGAGCATTAAGATGTGTGTTAAGACAATGCCAATGAGGCTTAACATCAGTAATGATATTAACAATCTGGGAAAGGTTATACGGTCATTTCCAAACTGTTTGATTATACAGCAAGGAAGATTATTTACAAGCAGAAAACACTCAAGACAGTTGCCAGTTTTCCCAGGAGTGGATATCCCAGTGTCAGACTGTGCAGTGCTGAGAGAAACTGTAAAAAAAAAACAAAAAAAAACAAACTACCTCCAGACTCTACATGCCACAACTTATTAAAAGTTGAAGTTCATGACAGCACAATTAAGTATGGCGTGTTTGGAAGGGTTGCAGGAGAAAGCATCTTCTCTTTAAAAAGAACATGGCAGCACAGCTTAAGTTTGCAAAGATGCATTTGAACAAAGAGTTCTGGGACAATGTTGTCTGGACAGATGAGGTGAATATTTGGAAGTCAAACACAATCAAAACAAACACGTCACACCAACTGAGAAGCACGGTGGTGGTGGGGTGATGATTTGGGCTGGATTTGTATTCACTGGAATACACCATGTAATCATTGAGTTAACCGTGAACTCCTCTGTATACTAAATTGTTCTAGAGTCAAATGCGAGGACATCTGTCCAGGAGCTAAAGCCTGGCTGAAATTGGCATCACACATAAAACTACTCTATTGCTTCACGTCATATCCTGTCTGTGCAGGGTCAGCTATCCCGTGTGATGTGTGACATGCGTGCACTGCTAGGTGCAGAGCGTTTGAGGAGACAAGAGCTGGCAGAGGCAGAGCTGGAGAAAAGAGAACTGCTACAGGTCCTCAGAGACCTGCAGCCCACCAGGAGCCAGAATCCCACTGAACAGGCAGCCAGGGACCAGCATCAGGGAGAGGTGCAGACATCAGGCTGGGAACTCCACACCGAGCCAACCAGACATCAACAGAGAGAGGCTTCTTCACATGCCTCCAGTCTGTCACTGCATTCAGCCCAGGCTTCACATGCAT